CCCCCCCCCCCCCCCCCCCAAATGAGTCCACTTCCATAGCAACCTGCAGTGTGTCGGTAATTACACACACAGCTCTGTGGCTGGCCGAATGCTCAAATGTGAGTGTCTGGCTCGATTTTCTGGACAGACAGTTTGAAAATACTGTACAGTCATTTGCATTTTCAGACGTGAACAATGAGTGGGCTCATTTCAACAGGTAAGAGCAGAACTTCTAATCATTGTACTTTGTGGAGCTGGTCTTGGTTTGGTAAAAGTTTCACTCTGCTTTTAAGAGTTTACAGATCTTACGGCTGACAACTTTGTGAGTATTAGTTTTGATTATTGACATTTCACAACTTCTGTAACAGCAGTCAAAATGTGTATATTTTGCCTCGTTCACTGGACACTCGTTAGAGAAATAATGGTTTATTCTTTGTCTCCATGCAGGAGAACTCCCTGGCATCCGATGATCTATTGGCTCAATACTTTAATGATTTCTTAACTTTGCCGGTAAAGTACTTCTGGTGTATAGATGTAGCACTTTTTATTTTTTTAGACAAAACTCGTACACGCTGGTATACCGGTTTTGTTTTCCGTATGCTATTAATTTTTCACACACCGCCATACCGGTGCACAGCCGAAACAACTGCTGTCACTCTTCAACAGCCAGCTAAATATATTGTTGGCGGCGGCGGACGCAACGGTCGGAGCTACTTGTGTAGAGTGTATGGAGAGGGACCCCTAATCATGGTTATGACTTTATAACAATTAATAATCCACAACTAACGCTCTTTAACAGGGCAAAACACCACAGACAACCGTTTGTGTAACACTAATAATTGTACATTTATAAAAATTACACCGCCGAACGGCATGCTGGGTACAACTCGCTAGCTAGCCCGCTAGCACAACAGTGTTAACAGCTGGGAGAGGTTCCGTAGCTCCAGTAACGTTACATTAACGAACAGAAAAGAGCGATGCAGGATGAACAAAGACAGACTGCCAAGCTGCTATCCCAACATTATAGGAACATGACATTAAAATGTTTTTATATTCTATGTAATTATGACAGTAGAGTAAGCCTCTATAAACATATAAAAACAGTCAAGGAAAAAAGAATACCGTGAAACCGCCAGAATCTTGAAAAATACAATGATACAAATGTGTGGTCATACCGCCCAGCACTACACCCTAGCGTCTTTTTTTCCAGTCTTTCCCAGAGACACCTCTGTTGTACAACCAGGAGACCGGGCAGTTTGAGGTAGTGGATGGAGCGGCTGAGTTTGTTTCCAGAAGAATCCGATCAGGTGTACACCGCAGCAGATCACAACTACTTACTGGTGACCCTGCAGCGCTGGCCAGAACCCCCCCAGTAGACAACCATTACCCTATCTGTGTAAGTATATATTTGGTTCTGAAGATAAGCAGAAAGTCCCCGATGTAGATTTAGAGCACTGACTTGAGGAATATGTCTCCCTGACCTTTGCAGTGCCTGGACAGAGAGCAAGGAATTCAGTGGATCATGAAAGAGAGACTTCCCTTTTTCCTTCAAAGTGATTGCTACAATGAATACAGGTACAATTAGTTTTTTGGACCTACTACATATACAAAACGCATGTTTTACTGCCTATTTTCTGCATTGATTTTGATCTTATTTATGTTTACATTGTTATTACTATAACATGTTTTTATATTATTACTAAATATAGTGTTCAGTTTTACTCATTAAATTGTTATGAGTTCCATGCAGTGGGTCTCATGCCGCTTCTTTCTTGCTGCCTTCTGTTAGCTTTGCTGTTATAACCTGACAAATAGTTGTTTACTAACCTAGATTTGAAAGATTTTTATTTAGTCAGCTGTGACTTTATCACATAATATGAAGAATGCATTTGGAAAAAACACATGTGCTTGTGTATTCTATTATGGTGGTGTTTCCCAGACTGTCCAAGCTGTTGTTTCAGAAGAACACAATCTTCTGTATCCAGAGGAGGAAAGGCAGTTCAAGTCGACCCACCCGGTCAGCCCCACAGCTGTGTTTTCCCTCCCAATCTGACGAGGAAACTAACAAAGCACTGAAGGGCCTACCGTGCTCGCATTCACAAGACAACAGTTCTGCAAAACAAGGTATATAATTGTGAATTTGTATTTACACATGTGTGTTTACTGTATTTGTTCTATTTCTTCAGTCTAAGTCTGAAGATAAGGATGCTTATGTTCTTTCTTTCCTTACTGTTTAGGCTCTTCGGGGACGCACAACGTCACATGTCTACCCTCTGGACTGAAGGAACATATCAACACAAAAGGCAGTGAATCATCCAGATGTTTCTCCAGCTGTTCTGAGCCAGAGAACCCATGTCACTTTTGCTCTTCGTCCTCTCCCTCCAACCTTGAATGTGAGAAACTCCAGAGCCCACAAACAGAGTGGAGCCTCTCCTTCACAGAGCCCTCAGCTGGCAACTCAGAGGAGCAACAAGAGTCTAGTCGCCAAAATGAGTACCTGGCAGCCAAAGTGGTCAAACAGGTGCTTAACAATGCAGTGTACGTGATGGATGGTCAGAGCCGGGCAAACATGTCCGACTGTTTCAGTAAGTCTGGAGACCAGACAAATTGTACCAGCGAAGACAGATCCTGTGATGGGAAAGTTCACCTGCGTTCGGCTGACGAGGGCACAGAAAGGCTGGAAGGGAAAAAAGAGAAAGTTCAAGAGGGCAAGAGGTGCAGTCGGGCAGAAGAAAAGACTGAGTGGTTTAAGAAGAATAGGAGAGTGGGGGGTGGAGGCACAGAACAGGAAAATATCCTTGATATTTGTTGCCATGGCAGCTGTTGCCGTGGCAATATACCAGGCTTGGATGAGTTGAAGGACTTTTTGCGAGGAACGCCGGGAGAGAAACTGCTCAACCTCTGGATAGATGTAGCGAGGCTGAATGCTACACAGAGCAGAGAGCGGAAGAACAGGTAAACATGATCCAACCCACTTCTTGTTATTCTGGTGAGCTCAACTTTGTTCTGTTTACTATTGATTTAAATGCCTCTGTTTGGTCACAGTTTGATATTAAACTCAGAATGTTTTGGATGGCAGCTGCAGCTATAAAACCCCCAAAAAGTAATGTATGTATCAGGTACTTGGTCCTGATGAGGAGGCGGTACCTGCTGAGCAGCAGCCAAAGCAGTCTCAATGTGGAGCTGCTCTCCAGACTGGGGATGACTACTTCCCCCTGCTGGACAGAGGAGAAACTGCGCTCAGTTCTGCCCTTTCTCACTGAGTCTCTGCTCTACTACTGGTGAGATTCACAATTCACAGTATTCATGTTCCCTGATGTTAATCAGAGATACTGAATTTGCGTGTTTGTGCACAGTGTTTATATACATTTTGTGTGTCCATCTATATGACTTGCTACTTTACATTTTACATATCTTGTGAGTTATATCCCCAAGAAGCTGGATATAGCACATGCTGTTAAGTCATTTTACATATATAGTTAATTCTCATAGTGTATGTATGTATGTATGTACAGTTGTGTGAAAAAGTGTTTGCCCCCTTCCTGATTTCTTATTTT